CCCCCAAAACCCCAAAACCCCATATGAGTGAATAAATAGAGTAAGTGGAGAAATATATAAAAATAAGCAGTAGATTATAAATTAATTCAAAATAATATGAACCCTGTAATTACTAAAGAAGAATAAACATAACTAACCACTTTAAGCGCAAACTTTTTCAACTAGCCAGCTCCCATCAATGACCTCAAGGTAGTGCCACATTCATTTTCACTTTACAATTCTCCAGATAGGCAAAATCAAGAGCACTTCCAATCCTTTCAGAATGCCTTTCTCATCAAATAATAACAAAATGCCAGTTATTCAGTAATAAAGAAGCGACAGTAAATCGGAAGATCAGAAATATTCTCCACCTTCCTCTGCCTAAAAGCCCAAGCCTTAAGTTATAGACGTCAATCAAATGATCATTAAACTGGAACGAAAACTAGTGAAAGTAAGCAAATAACTATATGCTTTTATCTTTAAATTATAGATAAGAGATGATAATAGACTGAAAGAGAAGGAATAATAGATGTTTCAGCTTAGAAAGGAAATAAAAGAGCTTGAATAGGACTTGCTGCTCACAAAGATTGATTTAGCATAGGCCAAGGGGGAGCTAGATGTAAGTTGACAATTGTTATTGAGAAGAACAGACTCTGAATTTATTAATATAGGAATATGAGTATTAGATTGATGAGTACAAGAGAGTCATCAAACAAGAAAATTAGGATTCGTAAAACAGCAGCACTGATCAAACATAAGATAAAGAGTCTTCTAGATCATAGAGAAACTAGTCTAAAACTAAAACTGTATTTAAATACAAAAATATGATCAAGTACCCCGTATCCCTGCTGACTAAGACTTAGATAGTAAACCAAGTAAAAGTGCCTAAATTTCTGAAGAAGTTAAATCCATTCTCAGGCAACTCTGGAAACTCAGGGCATTCCTCTCAGAATGTATTAGATGACCCAATATTTGGAAGTGATTCCATTGATGATACACCTAAAAATACAAATAAAAAGCAACCTGATAATTTGTAGTTTTCTGAATTAGATATGGGAATATCAACAACCGTGAGTATGGCAGCACCTATGAGAGATATAAGATAAGAAACATTATCTGCTGCAGTATATCTCAACTATTTTTAGAAGACTCATGATGAGAAACATATAGATTAGTGGTTTAAGGTCTATATCCCATTAATCAAGGAGGGATATGACGAGGAATTTCGAAAAAATAAAAAGCTTAAGCAAGAGATTGTATCTGGGATCCCTGTTCCCTTAAGAGGTTAGGTGTGGTAGGCACTAGTTGGAAATAAGCTTAGAATCAGTTCATTTTTATTCTAAGTATTTAAAGATAACGGCTAGCATGATTATAATATGGACCCAGACAATCCAAGAATAAAACTTAATCCGCTAATAGAAGAGGATATCCCTCGAACATTCCCTCATCTTAATGATTTGTTTGAAGAGATTCAATCACTTTCAACGTCTCTAAGAGAGATACTACTAGCTTACTAGAATTTTAGATAAGATATTGGGTATGTATAAGGAATGAGCTATGTGGCTGGCATGCTTTTACTTCATTGCGGACCTCCAGAGGAGTGCTTCAAAGTGTTTTGCAACATTCTAAACATGGAAATTATCTTTAACTTCTACAATTTTAAGATATCTGAGATCAATAAGACATATAAGGTGTATTGGAAGCTACTCAAGGAACAGGCACCTTTACTCTATGACAATCTAAAAGCAGATAATGTGTCCTGCAGTGTATTTCTCTTTGAGTGGGTGCTTACTCTATTTAGCAGTTCATTTGAGATAGAAATCTGCACATATTTGTGGGATCAGATTTTCTTTTTTGGAGACATGTATATAGTCAAGATCGCTGTAACCATATGCTATTTATTATAGAAAAAGTTCATAAATGAGATAAAAACCGTAGATGGCCTGGCTATTATTAAAAAAGGGAGGCTGCATTTATAGAAAGATGAGTTGTTTGATGCCCTTAATAAAATAAAACTAGACCTCTCTTATATAGAGTCTCTTTATGCGAAGTTAGACGCAATTGAAGATGAATAATGAGAGCTTAAATCTAATTTCGTGTTATCTCTGGAATGACAAGGAATGTTTAATGCACATAGTAGTCATTTTTGACAATCAATCACAGCACTAATTGATTTATAGTTATATAAAATCACATACACACTTACTCAACCCATTACATTTAATTTTATTTCTACTATTATAATTCTATCAAATACTGATGGGGTTTTGGGGTTTTGGGGTTTTGGGGTTTTGGGG